TAATCTATTAATGAATAGTAGAAGTAAAGTTCTTGATGTTGGTTGTAGTTTATCTTAAGTAGAATAAGATAAACATGTATATAAATATCTTTATTGTGATCTGGTAAAGTTGATACAAAAAATATGCAACGTCTCTATGTTGGAACATAGCATTTTGCAATACCTTTTTGAAATACGCTCCAATAGAATAGCACAGCAATAGGCATATATATAATATATATATATATATATATATATATGTACATTTTCATTTGTCAGGAATAAAAGTATAGTTATCTGTCAGTTCTTTTAAGTTTATAAATTCAAAAATCATTTATTCATGTAGGACATTTTAGCCGCTTATGAACGTAAAAAAGTTTTTTCCCTACCGTACAGTTCGCTATATAGATTCAATTTAAAAGAACTGGCAAGAAATTCAATTGAATTACTTTTTTTTTAAAAGGCAGTTTATTTACAATGTATATACATATAATATGTATTTATATAAGTGTCTATGTTTAACATTAAATGAAATCCCGTGCATTAACAACTATTGCCATGCACGCTCGTCATTCAAGTAATCGTTTAGTGAGTCGCTTTGCTCAGTAAATATGATTATACTACTATACGATTAAATGATATATTTTACTTACCATAATATCATAAATTAGAGGTTTATATTTTTTATATTACTGGAATGGCAAAGAAACAACCAGATCCTGATTTTACTGCCACATCTCACTCTCTAATCGAAAACAGCCTTCAAAACTGCTTTTGTGAGTAAGATAGAAGAAGAAAAGAAGATAAGGTAGTTTATTTACTTCTATCATGCTTTATATTAGTTAATAAGATCCGAAACTACCATGTCATTCAAGCAAATAAATAAATTATTATTATTGAATAAATTATTATTATTATTATTATTATTTATCTTCTTTTCTTCTTCATTAAGACTATTTTGTCTTCCGGGCTGCGATGATGATGATGATGATGATGAAGACGATTTTGTGCAAAGTCAACCTGTATAAAATTTTTAATTTTGATGTGTAAAGATGTTATCCAACTGTAGGGACCGTGTGTAGTATTCCCCTAAGGGAGTCTTAATAATAAGCTACGCGTTCATAAATCATCTGCAACATAATTAAATATTAAATCATTTTTATTCACACGGTAAATCAGAGCGGCTGATGACACGACGTCGTGATGCATGGCTTTCATATTAGATATATTAATCGATAAACATACAGTAATAATGTACAGTGTTATTCATATAGAGTATGCTAAGCTGAAAGCCAGGTACCATACAGATATATCCGTGGACAATTCACACAGCGCCATCTAGTCCCAAGTTGAGCAGAGCTTGTGTTATGGGTACTAGACAACATATACAAATACATAGAAACTTTTTTTTTCAAATACATACATAATATATATAGAGAAAACTCAGATCGATATAAACAATCACACTCATGAATACAAATGTTGGCATTAGGAATAGAACCCGCGACCATCGAAAGTAAAGCGGATTGCTAAACCGCTAGGCCTCGGGGCGTCGTCGCCATCAAATTAAAACAGAAACATCACAACGAAGCGGGTGTAGTTGTGAAATACATTTTTTTTTCGTTAACCATCTATAACAGTTAAACAGTGGTGTCAGTTAAAGAAACTGTAAGTTATCCGTCACCGTCTAATTAACTCTCCCTAATGATTTAACTGCAGTTACATCTGTTTGGTTAATTTTAACTGCTGTGTGACGCAAGATGAAGGTTAATATATTTTGGGAAATGCATCGGTAACTGTTGTTTAGCAGGGTTTACAAAATAATGAGACAAGAATTTATTATTTTGGAAAAAATAGACTAAACATAGAAGTATAAAGTAACTGTCGCTGTCTGTCCCTATGTATGCTTAAATCTTTAAAACTACATAACAGATTTTGACGAATGTCCGAGTGAGTCGCGCCTTCAGCCTCGTGTATAAAACGAGCAACTGCGTCTTCTCGATTTCTCGTATAATATACGCAGTCGCCTGTGTGCCTGGTGATGGCTACCACGGCATGAGAGTAGCTGCCATGCACTTCCAAGGGTTTACTTCTTTTCCAGGCAACCTTAGGATGGAGTGGAGTGATTGACTTGAGTCTGGTCGAGGTGTAGTAATAATAAATAGTGAGAAGTGATACTAAAATAAGTTTTATCATATTCTGCTGTTCCCAGCGTACAAATATGAATTCTATAATCCAAGCATAATAAATTCTAAACATTAGTCATCATAACTTCTTACTTTAAAAACAATAGATAAAATATAAAAATTACTTTTGTTATTGTTATATGTAACAAACTAATTTTCTTTCTTTCTTTCATTCTTATATTATTCGACGACCTCGATGGTCCAGCGGCCTAGCACACCGCTTTACGACTGATAGTCGCGGGTTCGATTCCTCGCACGGCTCAAACATTTGTATTCATGAGTATGATTGTTTTTATCTGTCTGGGTGTTTGGTCTATGTATAATATGTGTATTTACAAAAAAAAATCTATGTATATATCAGTTATCTAGTACCCATAACACAAGCTTTAGTTAGCTTAACTTGGGTCTAGATGGCGCTGTGTGAATTGTCCTGAGATTATTATTACTATTTGTGTGTTTCGCTTTCTCAGCCTGTTTGCTGGGATTTATTTTTATTATTATTATTATTATACCCATAAAGGACTCAGAGTTTTCTAAACGATACTTAGGAAAACTTTGTCTAAATCCAGTATTAATGCTATGATATTCATGAAAGCAGTCACTCCCCTGGCTCTGCTTTCGTCATAGTGCGCCCGCGTGTGTGAATATGTTATATGAAGTCTAGTGGACAATCCGCATAATGTCCACCTCGCAATGAGCTCCCGGACAGACGCGAGCGGAATATGAAATGTGTACGTAATTGGAAAAGTCCACAAACAAGAGATTAATTCCTGTACTTATAATAACTAGGTGACATATATTGTATGAATATACAAAGAAAAACGTATTTTTATGAAACAATTTGTATAATATATTTTGCTATGTGTATATATATTAAAAATATTGTTAAATACATATAACTAACATATATTGAAATAACATTTTTATTTTTTATGAAACAATTTGTATAATACATTTTGCTATGTGTATAATAATGTGTATTGAATAAAAATATTGTTAAATACTTATAATAACTAGGTGACATATATTGTATGAATATACAAAGAAAAAAGTATTTTTATGAAACAATTTGTATAATACATTTTGCTATGTATATAATAATGTGTATCGTATAAAAATATTATGTTCAATCTACCTATTTGTAACTAGTCCCAAGATAAGTAGAGCTTTAGTTATGGGTTCTAGACAACTGATATAAATACTTAGTTATTTTTTTTTGTAAAGACATATATAGAAACACACAGACAATAATCTTATCTCAATAATATTATAATCAAGAAAGTTTATGATTACGGATATTTGTTACTCTTTCACGCAGAAACTACTAAACGCATATAACTTATACATCAGAATAACACATACCGTGTGAAAACCGTGGGCATAGCTATTATTAAATGATATTAAGACCCGATTCACTATGTCAATATTTAAAAAGAAACCACATCAACCGAGTAATGTCACAAGCAGGGATCAATAAACTTTCCGCGTATCAACATACTAAAATGATTTCCGACAAACAGGAAATTTAAACGCCTCCAAATACGATATACGGAGCCCCACGGAAGTGCCGGGAGGGTGAACTAACCCCGATTTCCCCAAATTACTAGAACATAGAGGGATGACGCACTGGGGTGGAGTCGGGTATAATGTACACTATGGATTGTTTGAGTAATAAACAAATTGAAAAGCAAACATAAGCACAGAATTCGACGTTTAATATGGACCTTTTTTATAACTGGATTGGCAAACAACGACGGCCTCGGTGGTCTAGCGGTAGCACACCGCTTTACTTGCGATGGTCGCGGGTTCGGTTCCTTGCACGGTGCAAACATTTGTATTCATGAGTATGATTGTACCGGTGTGGTCTGGGTGTTTCCTGTGTATATTATGTATGTATTTAGAAAAAAAAAGTATCTATGTATTTGAAACAGTTGTCTAGTACCCATGACACGAGCTGTGCTTACCTTGGGACTAGATGGCATTGTGTTAATTGTCCAGGGTTATTTATTATTAATTTATTTATATTGTCTCTTAGTCTATACATCTGTAATCATGTCTAGATGCACTGGTTTTGCAGCAGTAGAGTGATTGAGGAAATCAACAATAATTTAAAATTTTTGATTGTATTGACAAAGGATACTGTTTATTTTGTCATCATTGACCTTGTGATCATCATTGAACTCATAGCGCTGACAATATTATCTGATTACACTAATAATGAGTGCGTAGCGATTTCTATGTTGATTATCGCATGCCTCTTATTTGTTATACTGAAATTATTTATATAAAAAACATCTATTCAAAAGAACAACACACAAGTTTCTTGCTCATTCTTCTTGTGATGAATCTGCATTCCGAATGAGTGGTAGAATCAAAATATGACTATTCAAAAGTGCTTGTAATGAGATTATTTGAATAAAGATTATTGCTATTTCTATTTCTTGTTTTTTTTTTCTAAACCAAGTGATGTATAAAGGCAGTAAATGTGAAACCCGTTAAGTCACATCGACTGTGATAAAAAAATTTATATTTATTTATTTAAGATAAAGGAGATGCATTATAATGTTAATAGTAAACATAATAATATATAGTAATTTATTTATAACTTGTTTATTAGCGTAATATGGATGAATATACGAAATAAAATAATTAATTATGAAAGAATACACACATAAAAAAATTAATGATTAATGATTCATTAATTTTTTTGTGTAATGATTGATTTTGATGTGTGTAGAAATAAATAAATTGTTTATAAAATTGACTATTCATTATTAATGAATTTCTTATGTTATTACATGAAAATTGTTAAGTAAGAAGTAAAGTTAAGTAAGAAGGGCAGATCGCTTCACCCAAACCGCTCGCAAAGTAGGCGAGCAATTCAAGGGGACGACCTGTACCCTACAAAAATACTTTCGCCCTATTAGGACATTGCCGAGAGTTACCAAGGCCCAATAATTTCCTTACTCAATAGATTGAGGCACGAAGAGTACCGCGTTCAGCATCGTATATACATCCAACGCAGTTACAAAACATAGCGCCGTCTAACTCGATCCCAGCGCCATCTAGTATCAGTCTGATGTACTTCTCTATACTAATGTAAAGAGGTACAATTCTATATTTCTTTGTTCGATGTAAACACCGATTCTGCAGATCCGATTTAAAAAAAAAGCTTTTACTATTAGATAGGTATGTTATCTCCGAGTGCTATAGGCTATATAACATCACACTACGACCAATTGGAGTAGAGCAGCAATGAAAAATGTGGTAAAAAATATTCGTTTTGAGAGTTTCCGCTGAGTGCGCTGTGTAAACGGTTAATGTTACGCAAAGGATATGTATGACGGAATTGTTCTCCTTTAAATGTTCTAAAAAAAAGTCTGCGACAGCATATGTCTATCTTTTAAGGTTAAATCACTATAACCTTATTTCATTGTAATCGAATTTCTCCTAAAATAATACATTAGTTGAGAAGCTGTTTTAATAACACGATATTTATTATAAGTATTAATTAATTTTTAATATTGTCCTTTACATAATTGTATTTAATAGAACACTTTAGGAGATATTTTAGTTTTAGTAAAAGGAGAACTTAGTTTTAGTAAGCTTTGAACAATATTTTTAAATTACAAGTGGTCAAAATTTATAATTTAAAATTATGATCGAATTTTGACCTTTGTGCGACCACTAGACATAGTATAGACTACATATAAATAAAATTGGAGTGACTGTTTATAATATTCAAATAACCATTTTTTACAACATACATATGAATGTAAATACGGTACATACACCGAAATAACATATTTTTGGAATTTTTGTCTGTCTGTCTGTTTGTTTCAGCTAATCTCTGAAATAGTTGGACCGATCTTATAGGACTTCTTTTGACAGGTAGCTGATGTAATAAGGAATAACTTAGACAACTTTTATTTTAGAAAAATGAAATAAATTCCACGCGGACGAAGTCGCGTGTACAGCTAGTGTAAAATATAGCATAAGCTATATTACTATAGCTTTTAATGTAAATCCGTTCAGTAGTTGTTGCGTGGAAGAGTAACAAACATCCGTACTTACAAACTTTCGTATTTATAACATTACTAAAAAATATTTATTTTGTGCAGACAAACAATACCAATTAGGTATATTGCTTAGCAGTTCTATTTATTGGTATGAACTTACCTTAACAAACTAACGGACCGTATGTTCATTGTCTGTCAAATTAGGAATGATATTCTGTTAGATTAACTAGTAAGGGTTAAGGTAGTATGACCATGCTAATTTTCACTTCTATACATGGTATAAAATTGTGCCTACACTTGTAATATTTCTGCCAACGCTCGGCACTTCCATTAGTTCACCTCTCCTAAGGGCTTTTTGGGCTGCAGCCAAGGGCCCCGAGGATACAAAGGGCCCCCAGTCCCCACTGAAACGATATTTAGAATATAAAAGAATATCTAGAATGTTAAAAAACCTACCATAAGGTTGGCAACCCTGAGATCAATCAACCTATGCGAGTACGCGTCTATCGAAAGGAACGGGGAATTTCTGGTCCCTTGCTTATTGTCGGTGTGTTTTTTTAGTTGAGTAACATAATTAGGTAGGCCCCTAAGTAGATTTAGCCCAGGGCCCCACAAATTCACGATTTGCCCCTGCTCTCCAGATAACATAGATTTAAGTGAAGTGCAAAGTCAGTCTACGTCCTGACTCCGCGTCGAATGTACGCGTTACTAATAAGCCATGTAGCACACTACCAAATAAACTTACTGCTGTACAATAAATAGTACAATTATATCACCTATATACTAAAACTAGCTGTTCTCGCGATTTCGTCCGCGTGGAATTTAACTTGATTTTTCTAAAATAAAAGTAGCCTAAAGAACTAAAAATTATTTTGTTCGTCTTAATTTATTCGTTCCAATAGGTTCAAACTAATACATTTACATCCTGCATCACCCATTATTTTATCCCCATGGGGGTCGAATTTATCAAAATCCTATTTAAGCGAACGTCTTCATCATAGTAGCTCCAATCTTTAATTTCAATTCAATCAGTCGAAAATCTAAGAAAATTTATTCAAACTTCATCAGTGTATATATCGGATAAAGTAGGATAAATCCTTTCTTAGGGGATGCCTACGTCATAGTAGCTTTATGCATGCAAAGTCTCAGCCCGATCGGTTTAAAATTGACAAAGTTTCATATAAACTTTCATCCACTATAATATCCCCTTGGGAGAAGAATTAATCAAAATCCTTTCTTAGCGGATGCCTACATCATAACGTCTACCTGCATGCCAAATTTCAGCCCGATCCGTCCAGTAGTTTGGGCTGTGCGTTGATCACTATGTCAGGCAGTCACCCTTGAGTTATATATATTTAGATAAACATGATGTATTATGTACAGACATCACATCATAAACAACGATACAGTAGTGAGGTGAAAGCCACCGCGTTACAAAATAAAGTTGCATCCGCTGTCTCTACGCTTAGATCTTTTAAACGACGCAACGATTTAATGCAGCTTTTAGCAATAGATAGAGTGATTCAAGAGGACGGTTCATATATATATTACAGCCTCTGTCGTCTAGCGGTTTAGCACACCGCTTTACGTCCGATGGTCATGGATTCGAGTCCTCGTATGGTACAAATTTTATGTCCTAAGAAAGGACGTAGGCTACTTTTTAATGCAATAAAAATGTTATAACGTAGAAGCTCGAACTTATTTTTTAGGCTGTTGATAAATGAATATGACATACAAAGTTTGTAAAAATTTACCCTTAAGGGGGTAAAATTGAATAAGGTATATAAGTTTTAATAAAAATTAGTCATTTCTTGTCTATTCCACGCAGACGAAGTCGCGGGGACAGCTACTTATTTGAGCTACCTCTTTTTAAAGTGGGTAGAAAGTATATCATGGACGTACAACCTTAACAAATATACAATAACGGTATATGCGAGTGGGCAAATACTCCCGGGGATATGTCAGCATGATCCAGAAACTAGCACGTACCATGCCTGACATTCATAATGTCGTAACCGCCAACTGGATGTCACGTGGGCTTTGACGTTTTTAACCTTATTAGTTATATTTTTTATGACGTGGTTCTTCCACAAAACATGTGTAAAGCAATTTGTGTAAGGGTTTTAAAAATCACATTTATTTCATTGAAAGGACATTTCTTTATAGCGCAGGGGACAATCGACCTTATGGATTACCTGATAATAAGTGATAACCGCCTTCCGTAAACACCCGCAACATCAGGGGAATTGCAAGTGCGTTGCTGCTCTTTTAAGAACGAATAAGCATTTCTTGAAGGTTTCGTATTTCAATATCGTATCTGTTCTAAAATACCATTGCTAGAAGGTGATTCCACAATGTGGTTGTACGTGGCAGAAAAAATCTAGAAAGACACACTGTGGAGGACCGCCATTCATCCAGATGATCAGGATGCTATTTTAGTATCTGGCGGGTGGTACGGTGGTGAAACTCAGCAGCTAGTATTAATTCGAACAATTCCTCAGAACACTCCCCGTGATATATGCGGTGGAAAATGCACAGAGATGAAATATCTCGCCACAGAGCCAATGGGTCGAAAAATGAAAAAAAAATTGAAAAGCAACTAAGTACCAAAGGCGGGTTTACTTAAGCTGCCAAGCATAATCATTCATACAAATGTACTCATGCCAGGAATGAACCCGCTACCATCGGAAGTAGATCGGTGTGCTAAACCGACCACCGAGGCCTTCTATATACATATAGTAATTCACTCATAACTTGTCTGCTAATGTAATATATATTAATATTCGAAATAAAATAATTCATTATGAAAAAATAAATATTACACATCAAAAAATCAAAGAATAATCGATTTTATAAACAACTAGCTTTTGCACGTGGCTTCGCTCGCGTTAATTTATCCCCTTGGGGGTGGAATTTATCAAAATACTTTCTTAGAGGATGCCTACGTAATAGTAGCTTTATGCATGCAAAGTCTCAGCCCGATCGGTTTAAAATTGACAAAATTTCATACAAAATTCATCCCCTATTTTATCCCCTTGGGGGTAAAATTAATCAAAATCCTTTCTTAGCGGATGCCTATGTCATAACATCTACCTGCCAAATTTCAGCCCGATCCGTCTAGTGGTTTGGGCTGTGCGTTCATAGATCACTATGTCAGTCCCCTTTGAGTTATATACATTTAGATTTCGTATGTTATGAAATGAAAATCATTAAGGTAAGAATGTTATCCATATCCATTACATAAAAAAACTTAGATAATAATATTAGAAATGGCTACTAGAATTCCTGGCTAACTCTCGATAGTGGTCTGCAATTTGTGAAATTCAGATGCCTAAACTCTTAGCGGTAGAAATTCTGACTTAATTTACATGTGGCTACGAAATCTGTATATATACATATAAATAACAATGGAGTGCCCGTTTGTAATATTTAAATAACCGTTTTTTAATACATGGATATGAATATAAATACACATACTCCAAAATAATTCTTTTTAGAATTTTCGTATTCATGACTATGATTGTTTGTCTGTTGATCGGTCTGGGTGTTTTCTATGTATATTATGTATGTATTTTCAAAAAAAAGTATTTATATATAGTGTTGTCTAGTACCCATAACACAAGCTCTGCTTACCATGGAACTAGATGGCGTTGTGTTAATTGTCCAGGGGTTATTTATTTATTTATATGGAAGGACTAACCATTATAGATGGAAGTACAGTAGAGGGAAGTACATAGGATGTTATTTTGTTATCCAAAAAAAGGCAGTATCCAAATTGTAGGATTGCACTACGCTATTTTAGTAGTCACTCTGTGATGTTGGGACCAATTATTACACGTGGAAGGACATAGGATGTAATTTTATTATACAAAAAAAGGCAGTATCCAAATTGTAGGATTGCACTACGCTGTTTTAGCAGCCATTCTGTGGTGTTGAGACCAATGATTACACGTGGAAGGACATAG